AAAGATGACCATTGAAAGATGGTTTAAGTGGAAAAATTGCATTAGTCCCAAATAGGAAAAATATGAAAGTAAGAACCATTTTAAATATGGTTGCACATTGGAAGGGTGTAATCATGTGTAGCATAGATGCTCTCTCTACGTGCGCGCACGGATCGAAATTGCCTTCAGACTTTAAACTTGTGTGCGAGCGCGACCTGCGTACACAAATGTCGGATCAAACGGAGCAAAAATTAGCCTGTTTGGAGTGTGCACGTTCGCAAACTGACCTTTGAGTCTTCGAAAGCTACCAAAACTCCAGCAGAAACTGAAGTAGCTCCAATGTTTATTGCCAGAGTTAATAGCAGATGACATATTTATTTTATATATTAAATCTCATAATTTTACGGCAATTCCAGCATACTCTAAAATACAGAAGGAAAAAAAATTGTGTCGGCACACACAAATATAGTATGCATACTGTATAATTTTTCAGTCTGTATACGTAATCTCAGTTTCTGTCTACGTAATCTCAGTTTCTGTCTAAAGTCGTGATGGTGATATTGTTTAGACGCAAAATCAGTTCGTCAAAGTAGTTTCTACGGTGCTCAGATTTTACGGATTATACCATTGTATCTTGGAACATAGACGCTCGGATTAGACATCAAGCACTTACGGTGAGGGGGCGAATCTGTTTTAAGGAAACTGTGTTCGCACAGACTTCAGGTTGAAGATTTATTTATTTTCTACAATTCACATATTTATTTATTTAGCGATTTACATATTTGCAGTTTGATCTTATGCTTCGTAGATTTTTCAGTTTATTTTGTTATATGTGCTTCATATAATTTTACAGTTCATTATCTGTATGTCGGAAAAAAATCTAAAGAAAATTAGTTAATTTAATAACATTCAATTTCGTAGTTGTTCAATCGATATTTATTTAGATAATATATGCAAATACTGTAAGGTGCAAATATGTTAGGTTGCCTACAAATATAATAGGCTGCAAATACGGTAAGCTGTATATACGGTAAGTTACCTGCAAATACGATAAGCGGCATATATGGTATATGCATATATGGTATGCTTAAAATTGGTATCTAAACTACACATACGGCATGTGATAATCCGATTTCATTACCACCTCTATATTTTCGACAAACTTAAAACAGATTCCTAAACGAAAAAAAATTGATTTCTTATACTGTTAATTTTTGAAAACTAATTTTTTTGTTTGATTTTTAGAAATGGCAATCGAATCGACCGACATGGATGTAACTCAAACTTTTCCTACTGAAAATCAGGCTATGGGTTCAGCTGTGGCTCAAGGGCTAAGCTCTGTTGTGGCTCAAACTATAGCTAAATTGCCAAGTCATGTTGTGAGTCAAACTGTGGCTCCAACAACTGGCATTACCATCAATGTTCCGATTAATCATGGAGAAAAATCAAAGAAATTCAATGGCTTGAATTTCAAAAGGTGGCAACAGAAGATGCTATTTTACCACTTTGAATCTTACGAGATTTTTGATTGAGACTGCTCTAAAACTCAATGAGAGTGAGGAAGATGTTCAAGCAATTAGTACACTTGATGCTTGGAATCATTCGGATTTTCTGTGCCGAAACTATATTATGAACATTTAGCAGACACGTTGTACAATGTGTATAGCAATATGAAAATTGCTAAGGAGTTGTGGGAGTCGTTGGACCGAAAATATAAAATTGAGGATGTCGGAGCTAAAAAGTTCATTGTCGGTAGATTCCAAAACTATAAAATGGTAGACTCTAAAACAGTTATTAGTCAAGTGCAAGAACTCCAAGTGATTCTTCACGAAATTTATGTCGAAGGGGTGATTTTGAGTGAAACTTTTCAAGTGGCTGCAATTATTGAAAAACTGCCCCCCGCATGAAAAGATTTCAAAAATTATTTGAAGCACAAGTGAAAGGAAATGAATGTCGAAGAACTAATTTTTAGACTTCGAATTGAAGAAGACAACAAGAGTTTTGAAAAGAAATGGTTCAATCCTGATGCTGCTAAAGCATATTGTGGAGTATGGTCAAAGTAGTAAGACCTACAAAAACAAGCCTGTGTCATCCATTGGCAAAGGACCAAGCAAGGACCGAAAGGGGGAATTTCTAAGAATAAATTTCAAGGAAAATGCTTCAATTGTGATGAAGTAGGCTACAAGTTTTCGAAGTGCAGATTATCAAAGAAGAAGAAAGAAGCAAATGTGGTTGACTATATGGCACTTCGGAGCTGAATCTCTCAGCTGTCATTTCTAAAGTGAACATGGTGGGTTCAAACTCTAAGAAGTGGTGGATTGATACCGGTGCTACGAGGCATGTGTGCTCTGATAAGGAGCTGTTTGCTGCGTTCGAAGCAATTGAGAATGGGGAGAAGTTGTTCATGAAAAATTCAGCAACTTCTGAAATCAAGGGACAAGGAAAAATGGTTCGGAAGATGACCTCAGGAAAAGAGCTGACTCTCAACAATGTGATATATGTGCTGGAAATTTGCAAAAACCTAGTATCCAGGTCACTTTTGAATAAGCATGGCTTTCACATTGTATTTAAGTCAGACAAGGTTATTTTGTCAAAAAGTGGAATGTTTGTCGGAAAATGATATATTTCCGATGATATGTTTAAACTCAATGTAATGGTTGTTAAACCAAAAATGAATAAAGCAAACTCTTCGGTTTATTTGCTTAAGTCTTCCAATTTGTGGCATGGTAGATGATGAGTGTAATCCACTCATTAAACTAAAGCTTCTAAATCGAGTTTTTTGATGTGTTCTTGAGCATTTTTGAACGTTTTGATGTGTGTGTTAGTGTTGTTTTGCAGTTTGGACAATTCTCAAGAAAATATCACTATTGGGAGCCGGTGATGAGCAAAAATGATGATCAATGAAATGGAGCATGAATAAGCAAGTATTGAATAAGATTGGAGTGGGAAATAAGCTTGGAAAAACAAAGAGAAGAAAAAAGTAAGCAAAAGCCTGGGCGCCACGGCGCCAAACTCGGGCGCCATGGCGCCCAAGGAAGGAAAAAAAAAAGAGAAAAGAGGCAGAACAACGGGCGCCACGGCGCCAGACCTGGGCGCCATGGCGCCCATGAAGAAAAAGGAGCAGAGACCTGGGCGCCACGGCGCCAGACCCGGGCGCCATGGCGCCCGTTTCCAAAAAAAGTAAAATCCGGTTTTTAAGTATTTTTTCGGCCCAAAAATCACACCCTAACCCTTGAAGACCCTTAGAAAATATAAATACTCAGCAAAAAGAACAGGAAAAGGGGGTGGACGGCTGAAGAAAGGAGGCAAGG